AGGATTAGGGTTAGAGGGTTAAGGTTAGAGGGTTAGGGTTAGAGGGTTAGGGTTAGTGTTAGGGTTAGGGTTAGGGTTAGGGGTAGGGTTAGGGGTAGTGGGTGGGGTGGGGGCGGGGGGGGGGGGGGGGGGGGGGGGGGGGGGGGGGCGGGGGTGCTGCCTGGGCTGAGTCACCACTGGGGTCTTCAGCCTTGATCTGGGGAGGAGAGAGGCAGGGTCCGGGACCCCAGAATGTTAAGTGGAGGCCAGAGAGAATGCCCACCTGTGAACCAAAAAGAGGGTATGTGTGTGGCTGTGGCAGCCCTGGGCTGGCACAGGGGTGTGGGCTAGAGTAGTGGCAAGGCCGTGCGTGGCTTTAGGCCTCTGGCCACTTCTCTGGCCGCAGTGTTCTCTCCCTACGGGAGAGGCCACCTTTGGAAAGCACCTGCCACCTCCCAGGACTCAGTCTCCCCACCTATATAGTGGGAGTGTCCATGCTAGGACCCTGGGGAGGTCTCTCGGACTTACACATGCCTCCCTTAGCTTCAGCTTGGGGGTACACTCTTTTGTTGTTTTTGCTTTGTGTTTTTTGAGACAGGGAGGGTCTCACTATGTAGCCCTGGTTGTCTTGGAACCCACTATGTAGACCAGGCTGGCCTGGAATTCATGGAGTTCCTTCTGCCTCTGCATCCTGAGTGCTGGAATTGAAGGCGTGCGCACCACGTCTCGGCCAGGTGTTACAATTCTTATTTGTCCATTGGAATACAATTTTGTTAAACAGACTGCAGAGATGGCTCAGAGATCAAGAGCACTGGCTGCCCTTTCCGGGGACCAAGATTTGGTTCCCAGCACCCATATGACAGCTCAACCATGGATTAGTAACTCAAGTTCTGGGGTATCTGGCACCCTCTTCTGGCCCTTGTGTGCACCAAGCATGCATTTGTGCACATGGCTCACAGACAAACATGCATGCAAACTCTCACATACATAGAATAAAAGTAATTTTCTTTGTTGTTGAAAAGAAGGGCTTTACGTGTTTTAAAAAAAAATCACCACCAGAAACTGGGCGTGGTGGTGCACACCTGTGATTCAGGCACTTCAGGAGGAGGCAGAGGCAGGAAGATTACTGTGAGAGCCAGGGTAACCAAGGCTGCACATGTATTTAGGGCCAGACAGACAGACAGACAGACAGACAGATAGATAGATAGACAGATGTAACAAGAACTAATGAAAAAAGCAGCCAGAAGGATGGAGTGGGGGGGGGACTGGGATTGGTATGTAAAATAAGATTGTTGTTAATTTAAATAAAAATTAATTTTTAAAAAGGCAGCCATAAGGTTGAAAAATAATAAGGAGGGTGATATGGGAAGATCTGGAGGACGGGAAGGGAAGGGAGAGATGATGTAATTGCATTATAATATCAAAAATTGGCACTCGGGAGGCAGAGGCAGGTGGATCTCTGAGTTCGAGGCCAGCCTGGTCTCCAGAGCGAGTGCCAGGACAGCCAGGACTACACAGAGAAACCCTGTATCAAAAAAACAAAAACAAAAACAATAAACCTAATAAATATTTTTTTATTCTGGAAAAAAAAACTCAAAACAATAAAACCTTACCAGCTGGAGTGGGTATGGTGTGAGTGCTTGTAATCCTAAAACTTGGGGTGGCTGAGGCAGGAGGATTGTGAGTTTGAGGACCAGCCTGTGCTACACACTGATGCCCTAGCTCCAAAAACGAACAGCTTGGATTATGGAGACAAGCAGACAACACCCACGGGAAATATGAGCAAGAGGGGGCGGCCCAAACTGGAGACCCTACCTACACCCTGCTCTTACTAGTCACTCACTTCAGAGAGGAAAACATGGAGTCACAGCAGAGCCACACTGGTCCTGTCCTGGCTTCTCCGTCTCCATCACCATACCTGACTTCTTCCTCTCCTCCACAAAACAACAGCAACAACCAAAACCACCCACCAGCAGGGACCCTTGGCTTGCCGGCCGAGGGTGCCGGGGAGGGTTTCAGAGACGGCCAGTTAGATGAATAACGTATTTTTTCTGGACCAGGCCAGACATCAGGGGCCATCTTTCAGCTCGGTATCTCATTTTGCAAAAGGAGAGCCAGAGAGCCAGAGAGTGAGGAAGAGAGAGTTTATGCAAGCTGACACAGCAGGTTGACAGGGGAAGGGGTTCTGGCATCTGATACACAGAGGCTCCGGAAAGCTGAATGCCAGACCCTGACATCTCAAATTATGGGACTGAATGTCAGGAGTTATGGGGATAAAAGGAAGAGGCAGGGAATGACATTATTAGAAGTTGAAGCTATGAGTCTGGCCGTGGCGCACGCCTTTAATCCCAGCGCCTGGGAGGCAGAGGCAGGTGGATCTCAGTGAGTTTGAGGCCAGCCTGGTCTACAAATTGAGTT